CCCATTTTTGTTATATTTTGTGCATAAAACTTTTTAAACAATCACATTTTTTTACAACATACTTTAATGTCTATACTATATATTATTAAATGATCATAATGTCCCTTCTTATTGAATTACATTTAATCTATTTTTCTTCTGTAAATAAATTATGAAAAAAAAACATATTAATTTGATGACATATTCTTTATTAAATTTATATAAATTTATCTTTAATTTTAAAACTAATTGTTTAAATAAAAATATTTAGTAGAATTTTTAAAAAAAATAATTAATTTTTTAAGCTTTATTGAATATATTACATTAAAAGAAGGTGTTTTTAAAATTATTTTATTAATTTTTCATCAATATATTGTCTGAAAAAGAAAATAATTTTATGATAAAAAAGTTTAACTTAGTTATAATAAGTTTTATTATAAATAATAAAATACTAATAATAAATTAATCAATTTAGAAAATAGTAATTACAAATCTATTTATCTTTCTTTTTTATTTTTATGATAAATTGATACTAATAATAAAATTAAGGTAAATAATATCATTAATATTTACATAAGAAAAAAGATAATAAAAATAATTTAATAAGAAATAAAATTTTTAATAAGAAATGATAAAATAATCTTTATGAGTTTGTTTTTAATTACAACAAATTAATAATTCAGAAGGTAATTTTTAATTCAAAAAGTTATTTACAAAAAAATAATAATTTAAGAGTTTTTTTTAAAACTTTTACCCAAAGGCATACAGGTGTGAAGGCACCTGCCTAGTGCCTACCTATCTTATATATCTATATGGGGAAAATTTATACAATGTGCCAGTGGGTCGTGCATCAGGCATACCATAGCCATTGGTATTCTCCACGCGCCGTCACATGTACAACACATGATTGTATGGACAACCACGATGTACTCGATAATTACATTCTAAATTTTCTCCCACATGGGCCACTATGATATTTCTTGCATCACTGGTCAAGGAAGGGGCAACAGATAATAATTGGTTAATGTTTGATGACGTGTACGGTTGGTAGTAGGGCGCATCCACCAGAGATTATATGGTGCCTGCAGCGGGTCACCATAAATTTCTACCTGACGAAAGTCAATATCAATAATCGACAATTCAACATTAACACAAATTTATAATGTTTCCTAAATTCGTAAGAGTAAATGTATATTTTTTTAAATTTATATTGTTTATTTATTTATTTACTATTATTTTTGACTCATTTAAAGTTGTATGTCACACTTTTAAATCCACCACCATACTTTAAATGAACATTTTTTCTACACAGACATAAAATGCTAATTTCAATGGATGATCGAAGTTGATTGCCTCATTTATTTTTGTAATTTTTTAAACTCAGTCTATAATTTATTAATATAATTTATTTATTATATAAAACTAAAACAGTAATACAAGATCCAATTGACTTAAAATATTCAACACTTTTATGCCATGCAAGTAGTTTATTCATCAATAGTAATGTGGGTGTTGAATCAATACCGAGCATCAATTAAAGCCACTCTCATTCTTGAGCATCAGAATACCTACAAACTTTCACACCAAAGGATATGATTCATAGGCCATAATATATGTTTGATTCTTTTCATCATCAGTGTGTGGAAGATTTAAAAAATGCGAGAAAATTATGTTAGTAGCCATAAAGAGAGTGTGGGAAAATGCTTTTGTATGAATTAACATCGTGCATAAGAATTTATTTCCAAGTTGAAGGTGAAACCATCAGCATTCATTATGCTGTACTCTTCCTAGTATGGATAAATTTATTCTTGATATATCGTCAATCAGATCATGATGTATAGCATCATTTCTTACATGAAAAATCGTTCGTAGTTTAAAAGTTACATGCATCTGATCATTTCATGTGAGTGAAAATATTGTACATTTCTTAAATAAAATTAGTTACATGTGTGCGGTTCTTGGACTCTATATCACCACTCTTTCTATATTAACAAATATGAAACAATGTCACATATCTTGACTCTATAGTAAGAGCATAAATCCAAATTTATTTAACTATGATGTGGTATTTCCATTACCAAAAAACTATTGTAAGAAAAAAAAAAAACATAATCAAATTCATATCTAAATTAATTTATATATATATATATATATATATATATATATATATATATATATATATTACTTAGTTTTTTGTTAATCCAATTTCTTGGCATGTTATTTTAAAATAGTAAAAAAGTGAATCTTGCTTAGATACTATTGAGACAGACTTGTTAAAATTAGTCGAGCTGATCCATGTTTTTGAATCAGCCCAGACTTCTTTGGGCCGAACAAGCCCAGACTAGAAAAAGAACCATATAGTAAGTCACACACATAATAAATTAATAAGGTTGGACCTTGTTAGTGTCCTAAGTCCCAACTATAAAAGAAAGCCTTAAATCTCTTAGGCGGTGCTTGATTATATAAAAATTAATAATAAAAAGTGAAAGTAAAAAAAAGTAAAGTGAATGAAAGAAATTAATTTTTTATAATGTATTTGCTTTGCATGAAAAAAAATTAAAATTGTCTCTCAGTTTAGAAATTATGTTGTATATGAATTTGATCATTTTAAATAATCAAGACCACCTTGTATTGTATATGAATTTCATCATTTTAAAGAAGTGAATTTTACTGCTTTAATTGGTGAATTTTTATTACTAAAAATTGTAAACTTTTTTAATTTCGGGTTATTTTGTATATGAATTTGTCCACAACGTAGCCCAACCAAAACAAAGAGTGGTTGGGCCTTGGAGAATACCCCATGTACTTTGTAATTATTATTTTTCAAAGTATATTCTAATAATCATTTATAGTTTCGTCCTCTCACAAAATACAGAAAAAAGTGTGTACTGTTTTTGGAATTGATGGTAGAGACTTGATTGTGATTAAAACGTGTCACTCTTGAATATGGTTACTAAATCTTGACAATGTAATTGAACTAATTGGCAATTAGATGATCCCGGCCAAATATCCCCGCTCTCAAACTCTGCACCGTGAATTTGTGATTTGGAAGCTACGAATTTATTTTATAAAACTAAATTAATTTGTTAGAGCGCCAGTAATATAGTATACCTATATTATCATATTTACATTTATTATTTAAATTATTACTTAATATATATATTAATTACTTAAATTTTAGTACGCCTCATCTGTATGTCATTGCTATACTATTTTATATATATATATATATATATATATATATATATATATATATTATAAATGTTTGAAAATATATTACTAAAAAATTTTTTCAATTAAATAATATTACAAATAAATCACGCATATATTAGTGAGAAAAGTTAGCTTATTTATTACATATATCATTAATGGAATAAACAATCTTGAATATATTTGCGTATAGATTTAAATAAATATATATGTTAGGACTGATATAATTTTATTTAAACATAATATACAGACGCTCTAAAGACGCTCTCATTCTCAAAAAATTTGGACTCTAACGTTTTCGCCCTCCCGCACTCACCCCTCTCTGTGTGACTTAGATCTCATTAGGCAAATCAAAACCACTTTTTTTCAGAAGCAATTTCATCTCCACACCATATTTTCGCTATCATCCAACTTCAGTTTCTTTCTTCTCTTCTTATTTTCTTTTGTTTTATTTATTTATTTTAGGCCAAGCAACCCATCCACCTGTTTTGTTTTAAATTAGACTTAATCCTCTACGTTTCTTTTAAAGTGATAAGTAATGATAGGAAGTTCGATATTAATAACATCAGTTCTTATACATATAATTATATAAGTCAGTTCTTGCAGTTAATGAAGTATTTGTACCGATTAATTACTTAAAAACAGGCATTCCATTTATATCAATGCTGAAAAGATAATTTACTGCCTTGCGTTAAAGTTTCTCACTCTAATTTAAAGAACCATCTTCCAAAAGAATTACTAACATGATTTCCTTGTAATAAAAATACTGTTATAAATCATAATCCTTATAATAACAAAAAAATATGTGGTTTTTTTTTTTAATTTTTATCATTTCATGGAAATTTTTGTTTTGTTTTGTTTGTTTGTTTTTTTCGTAAAAATAAGAATGTACACACTAACAGAAAAAGAACTACAGAGCAAACCAAAGTTTGGTAGAACAAAGAAGGCCAGAAAAGATACTAGAACAAGGCAGGCCAAAGGCCAACCTAGGTCACAAAGAGAGCTAAGAACAAGAGAGAGAACAATTCAGAGAAAAATACAGTCCCTCACAGTATTTCCAAAACAAACAGAAGAACAAGTAACAGAATAAAGCCAAACAAACAAAAGCCAAATTTCAGTGTTGTTATTGAAACATACGGCTTGACTAATTTAGTTTAAAATTGATTCATGCAATATTACTCCATCTCAAATTTCACTGCTAAATGTCTGTTATAATTTGTTACTGAGTACATTTTACAAGAAAGTTTAAATAACAAAATTATTATTTTAAATTTATACATATACATTTATAATAATACAAATATATATATTAATATATTCTTACTGTATCTGTAATTTTTTTTTAAATAAAAATTTATAGTATCAGGAATATAGTTATTAATTTTGTGCCTTGTCCATGTACGTTCTACAACACATGCAAATAATATAAAAAAAAAATAAAAAAATAAAAACAGCCAGCAAGGACACCTAGCATATCATGAAGATGAGGGTTTGGTTGGTCACATGGCTCACCTTGTAGGGAGACAAACCGCACTTAGCATTATTTGCATACAAGGAAAGGGGCTATACCAGAGTCTGTCATATCCTCAAATTTTTATATGGATAGAAATTACATGATTTTTATCGATCACAATTACGATATATATATATATATATAAATAAATATATTTAATTTATTTACTTTTTTATTTATGTATTATATTATAATCGATTAAGATCACATAATTTCAAATCATTTGATAATTTCTGGAGGGTCTTAGAATAAGTTAGACTATGAATTAAGCTTGTCATACCTAGCTAACTTCTCTAATAATTGAGAGAGAGAGAGCTATGAAGAATATGAGCTAGGTAGAGAAATGAATGAAGCTGAAAATGATAGAAGAAAGATATTGCACTACCAATCATCAAAGCGAGGGTCCCACCTTTGTCTGCCAATATTTCTAATACTATTTTCTCATAATATCAGTTCTCTCTTCTATGGCTGGAGTACTCAATCAATTCTAGAACCCTGTTAGGAGACTATTTTCTTGGTGTTCATCGTACTGCTATTATATATATTTATTTATTTATTTTCTTGGTGTTCATCGTACTGCTATTTTATATATTCTTGGTGTTCATCGTACTGCTATTATATTTATTTATTTATTTATTTTCTTGGTGTTCATCGTACTGCTATTTTATATATATATATATATTACTTATTATTGTTTCTTTGAATTAAGCTTGAATTAACAGAGAGATTGAGAGTAAGGATATATATATCTAAGAAGTTTTTTTTTTTTTTTTTTTAGTTAAGGGTATATCTAAGAAGTTGTTCCTATATATAAACAATACATATCCCTTAACATAAATATTGCACTATATATTGGTATTATATATATATATATATATAGATAGATAGATAGATTGATAGATCCCTATATATCGATCTATGGCTGGTATGCTTCCTGGCGTTGAATGTGCGAGAAGGAGGCGCTTCCATCAAAGTGGTGGCTGGTCAGATTTGCCTAGCACCTCCTCCGCCCATACCTTCACAAGGCGCTCCTCCTTTTGTCTCTATACAAGCAACCATGAATCTCACCTCAGCTCAACCTCAAGCTCCTCCCTGGTAAAATTATTGTATAATACAAATATTAAGAAAACTCACATATATACATATATATGTAATTCTAACATTTATAATTTGAACACATGAAACAGCAAAGAAGCACAATAAACCAGGTATTTGAGGATGACAAGCTAGGGGATGTGGCTAGAGAAGCCAGAGACAGATTGGATGAGAGGCTAAGAGCACAGAGGAAATCTGAAACCAAAAGGTACATCAATATATATCTTAATCTTATGCTTCTATCTGGCGCATGTTAGCAATGACATTATTACTTTTTATTCTAACATACGCCTTTGCAGTTGGTGATGCGAAATGAAACTAATTGATTAAGTATATACTTCCAAATTAATTGGTTGTTTTAAATTTGTTTTTATATTTGAAAATCAGGAAAAACAGCCTAGAAAACTTGAGGGGTGTGGTTGTGGAGGACATGGTGATCGGGGATTTGCAAACAGAGGTGTTTGGATTGAAGAAAAGTGGTTCAAAGAGGTTCATCAGTTGGGCTAAGTTAGGGTGGAAGGGTCCGGACCAAGAAGACTGTGTCATTTGCTTGGAACAATTCAAGTCCGGCGAGACCCTGGCGCACCTTCCGTGCGCCCACCGCTTCCATTCAAGGTGTTTGGTGCCATGGCTACAGAGCAATGCTCACTGCCCTTGTTGCAGAATGGGCATTTTGATTTAAGAATTTGTAACAACTTTCTTGCTGTTTAAGAGAATTGGTCTGCAATAATTTGTAAATATGGACTGTGCTTAATTTGGGAGAATTCTCCCCTTGAATCATATTTTAATGTAAATAATTTTGCATTCGGATTATTGGGTTGTCGAAAAATTACTGAGAAAGATGGAGAAAGGAAGAAAAATGTATGGATTCTGAAGCTTGTGCTTGTTTTTATGTTATTCATGCATATGTTTATTAAAAAAAACTATACATTTTCTGTTCAGATAATCAAGCAACTGAAAATTAACTCACACTCTATCCTTAGATTTTTTTTATTTTTTTATTTTTTTTTCAATTTGGAGAAAATGATCAACTACTGGTAATTATAAAAATGATGGAGCATTGCTTAAACATGCTGTAAAGTCGATTATTATCTATATATATCATCTTTTAATTTGTTTTGCTTCGAAAGGAGACCTATTCGATTACTTCATGTAAGTAGAGATCATGACCTCATCATGATTGGGTCATTATACACTCACATAAATATAGTCCTGTTCGAATGCTATGTCACAATACTGTATCTGAAGAAAACAAAATAACATATTTAGTAATATTTTGGAGTGTTTGCTCGAGTGTTATATGCTGTCATTTACATTTAATTAAAATATATATATAATAATAATATATTAAAAAAAATGGATGAGTTGGGCAAGCAAGTGATCATATCATCCACACTCAGAAATGATCACTCATATTGATTAGATGGTAAGTAATATAATAGTTAAACGTCTTTGCAGTGTCGTTATACATGATACAATATGATATGATCCCATACATATATATTTGGAGAGTTTTCCAAATGACACTAGTGTCCATTTTCGGTGTATTGTTGCACAATAGTCATGAATGATCCCAAGTCTATGATGCCTCCTGATGATCTGATCCCCAGTAGCTTCAAAGAAATAAGTGATTTCAGTTGCACCAGAGATCACCATCTTTCCTCTTTTGGAGCCCACCACAAGATTGGATTTCAAATAATGCACCACTCTTGTCTCTATGATACTGGTCCAAAAAACAGTTGTATTTTATGGATGTTTCAATTCTGACATACTATTGGTTTTGTCGTTTTGGAGGTACAATTATATGTCTAACGTTGCAAAAACTATCATCATCTTCGTCCTCACAATTATATCCATAATTAATTTTGATAATCCCAATTTATGGTTTATCTCTTGCCAATAATATGCCACCTTACCTTACCTATATGTATATTTATGTGTATAAAATCTAGATAGATATTGATGATATATTGTGCGAGGAAAAAGTAGGTCTATCAGTTCCAACATTTAGTGGGGATGTCCTTTTCTACTACTAATATGGATCATCACCTGATTAGTACTTGAGTCACTTGAACTTTTATTTTAATTAAGGATTAGAAAGCATTAGTGCGTGGGAAAACTAATAAGCATGTGATTAGTGGAAAGTGTCTTTCTTCTCATCATGTGTTTATTTTTTATTTTTTATTATTATTAAATTTAGATTCAAAGTTTGATCATATCCAAGAATTACTCGAGAAAGTTACGTCAAAAATTTATAATTTTGGAATATAATATTACGAAAATGATTGTATGAAAATTTATTGAAGAAAGAAAAATTATAGGTCAGGTTAGTCGAAACATCCGTAATAGCTGAATGCATTGATGTGGAGTCTATGTGTGTCGACTTTAAATGTTGGATGTTTTATTAGAAATGAAGTCTTTATTTAAACAAATTGTTTTTTGAAGTGTGAACACAATAATTACAAAATTCCTATTATTATAAAATAATATTGGTTTAACCTTATATAAGTAAAAAGTTGAAATTGCCTTCATTCAAATTTTGATAGGATTATTAAAATAATTATGCAAGGTATAGAGAAATTTAGTGGCTGGAAAGCCCTTTTTATAAGCATTTTAACTTGAAAATACACTCATCATGGGCTGTAATTTAGAATTCAAGTCTTTTAGGGACAAAATAAATGGGTAGACAAACTAAATATCAACCAAGGGGGGCTAAATAGATATATCATGCTCTACGAGGACATGAAATCAGAACGCATTTTCTTTTAGTTGTTGCCTTTTTTTTTATAACTTTTTCCTGAGCATTTTTTTTTAATTTTCTAAAGATTATCAAATTAAATTGATTTATTCACCGAAAATATATTTTTTGACGATAAACTTGATTCATTGATTGTTAGCATATACTTGTTTGGAGTATTAAATGAATAAAAAAAGGAGGTAAAAAATATAAGGTAGAGGAAATTTCATTCTTTATGGTACCATATTAACACTCCACCTTGTCACATTCACAAAGGATATTTTGCAACTTTTAAAAGCACATGGGTTTATTTGGTGAAAAAAATAACACGTATTTTGCAAATTTTTTAAAGTATTTGAAGTTTAAGTGCAATTTATTCTATTTTAAACATAATTATTGAGTCCGAGTGATTTTTCAGTAAGAGTCATTTTATTCATTTTCTAAAAATTAAATAAGCAAGTGAATGCAATATATTATGCAATAGTGTTTACATCATTTAAAATAAAAAAGAAATTATGAAAAAGGAAAGTTGAGAGAATTTATGTCGCGTGAGGAGACAGAATATTTGAGCGAAGGAAATTAATATTATTGTCCTCTTAAATAATAAAATCTAAAGTTTATGTGCTAGTTTAACATTGCTATTTTATAACACTCAAATTGAAAATCTTCTACCTAAGCAATCACCAATCCCATGCAATTTAAAAATCACTGGTTAGTACAAAATTAGCATAACTAATCAGATCGTTCAACTTGATGTTCCATATTAAACTCTCTCTATATTAGGGCTGCAACTCAGGCTGGTTGGGCGGGCTGGAGACTTAATTCGGGCTCAATCCATGTACAAAATCTTTTGCCCAAGCCCAGCCCAAGCCCGCCTAAAGCCCAATCCCAGCCCATAATTAACTTCTCCTACCCAAACCCGCCCATGAGCCCACGCCTTTGTATTCAGAATGTAAAAAATAAAAAATTAGTGCAGCTACAAGGACTCGAACAGCATTCCTCCAAGAAAAATCATAAACACACTACCAACTAAGCTATTATTGAAATAACATAGTTTTAAAATAAATATACCCTTTTCGGACTCGAGCTGGGCTTCGAGCTTTATATAATATCAACGTAAGCCCAGCCCAAATTTAATTCGGGCTCAGAATATCTAGCCCAAACCCAGACCTAGAACAGAAAAACACTGTCCAAGTCCTGAAAATTTCGAGCTGGGCTCGGGTAAATTCAGGCTAGCCCAGCTCGAGTTACAGCCCTACTCTATATATTGGCATCCTACCTCCTAATAGAGAGAAGATGCGTTGTAGTTAATGAAATATTTGCACTATAAAACCCTTCACATAATTATTCTAGATATTTATAAACTTTAGAAAATTTAAATTTTCTAGAATTCTCAACTTTCTCACCACTCTAGAATTGTTTTAAATTTCAATATGGGAAGCACACACAATATAGAATCCTCTTTAGCGCACATGTGGATTGTGTGACATAGGTTTTCAAATTTGTGACGGGATTATTTAATAATGCTTTTAAGTGTAGATAATTATTAATTAAAAAGAAAAAGGAGTAAACATAAAAATGAAAAAAAAAAAAAAAAAAGTTGTTAAAGTGAGCAAGTGAAAATCATGAAAGGTAAAAACGAAAAAAAGAAAAAAAGAAGAAAAAGAGTGTTAAGTCGGGAAGTGAAGATTGTGAAGGGTATATGTCATGGATTACTTTCTGTATTTCAATAGAGTAATGCTATTTTCTCCGATTATTAAAAAATCGACAAAATACGATTCCAACGTGTATGTCATTGTGTGGGCTAGCTATTTACAAATAGCATACAATCCCCTTTCTCCTTTCTTTTTCTTTTTATTCATCTCTGCACCAAAGCAATCAATCATGCATCATCTCTCTTCAACTCTAATCATGCCTGGATATTCAACAAGTTGATTTAACATACCCAAAAGTTGCTACTTTGATTTTTTTTTTTTCCTAGGCATAAAATTAAGCTGAAATTAAATAATTCTCTATACCACTCAAATAACGGATTCTTTAAAGAAATAAAAAAAAATACACATGATCAATGATCTCAAATTCAATCCAGGCATGTATTACCCAAATTCAATCCAGGAATTGTCTTCGATTCGATGTTGTTCAAGTTGATTTTGATATGATTGTTTGGGCCCCGGCCGGTGTTGACGGCGAGAATTGGGGCGATACATTGGTGTTGGAGGAAACATTGAGTACTCACCGGAGACATCACCAGCAGGTGCGGTAGAGTTGGAGACAACGAAGGCGAAGCCAAATCTGGGAGTGAAACTAATCTCCGGTAAGGTGAAAAAGATGAAGAATGTGAAAAAGGAAGAGATGATGGTGAAATTATTTTCAATTTAGTTTTATAGCCCAATTTTCAGTTTAGTTTTATAGACCTAATTGCTTCAGAACTGAATTTTCAGCCCTATATTTTTTTCAATGAGAGAGAAATTGGGATATATCTCTAAAATTTTGGGACAATTTCGCCGAGAGACGATGGATCTCTATCACCAACACGACTGGCATAGTAGTGGTGGCAGAGTAAATTGTGCAAGCAAGAGAGAACATTTTGTAGATATTATGTGGATTGTCACTTTAGTATTTTTTACTTGTGTCGGTTTCAAGTCGTTAAATGTATATGGTCAAAATTATCATTTTCTATTTCGATAACATGAAACTATCACAATTTCTGTACAATTTTCGAAATTGATTGCAACATGAAAACAAAGAGAGTGTTACAAAAGATGCAGGGAAAAAAAACCAAAAAATTGGGAGATCAAATCAACCGCCTTCTGTGTTTTATCAGTTCAATTAGTATTAATTGTTGAATGTATATAGTCAAAATTATCTCTTTGTTTCAAGTCGTTCATGTATATAGTCAAAATTATCATTTTCTATTTCGAGAACATGAAACTATCACAATTTCTGTACAATTTTCGAAATTGATTGCGACATGAAAACAAAGAGAGTGTTACAAAAGATGCAGGGAAAAAAAAACCAAAAAATCAGTTCAATTAGTATTAATTGTTGAAGAGAGAGTGAGACACTTGGTTCTTTTTTAAAATCTCACAAATTTGAGTTTGAATTGGAGTTCTTAAGTAGACTTCTAATTATAAAATTGTTCCTGATTAACCCCCCCCCCCCCCCCCCCCTCGAATTATAAAATTGTTCCTGATTAAAATAAAGATGAATAATATTTTAAAATTTCTCAGCCCCCCGCGGAAGATTAATTTCAGTAACATCCTCTGATGTGTGGGGAAATATCATAAATACATTTAAATTGTTAAAAATTGGACAAAAGATAATTTTATTCCTAATTTTTTAATTTTATTTATTTCAAAATATCAACTAACTAAAATGACCATTGATCCCTCATTTATTAATCCCACCTACCGCACTCCATCCAAATACACCATCTCTTTCTCTCTCTTCTTTTTCTCTCTTGGCAAATCACTTTCAAGCATTTGTTATATACTTGTATCTTTAAATTTGTTGTCTTATATTTGTAGAAATGTATAATTTGTGTACCTCTCTAATCTTCCTGTTCTTTACTTTCTAAAATTTGTTTTTAGCTTTTAGAGAAAAAACTCTTCTCGATTTGTTTTATTCATTTTTTTCACTGACGTGGTCTTAATTACTGTTGTTAGTTCTATCTATTTGCATACAACTCAAATTAAGGAGTTCAATTTGTTGTGTTGTTGTGAGTAAACTATGTACTTGTATTGTTTTTGGTGATTGGTAAGTTTTGGGTTGCAGAGAAACTTATTCATGGGATTCACGTGCCTATATGATGATGGACGTCAAATTTATCATCAGAGCTAAAATTGTAACTTACCGTATTTATGTTTTGGTTGCCAAAAAAATTCACGTGCTCTTCCTGGTTCTTTATTAAAGAATGGGAAAAAATCACATAATCCCCCTGTACTAATTTTTTCGATCAAAATGCCCCCACTAAAATTAAACACCCCCTGAACTAACAAAACCCATCAAGTTGCCCCAAAATGACAAAACTGCCCTTCTAAGTTAATTGTAAATTTAAAACTTATAATATTATTGTAAGATTACAAAAATACCCCTGAGTTGGTGGGTCTACTGTTCATCTCCATCTTCCTTTGATTTTACCATGGTTAGAGTTGTTTCAATAGCGTCCGTCTAAATCAACATCATGATGATCCGATGAGAAAAGCAGGTAGAACAGTCCATGAATGGCAATTTTGTTGTTGCAGATAACATCAGGAGTCTCACTGTTGACGTTGTTGATCCTGAGTGGGGCCGACGCATGCGCCACCAGATTCTTCCCCTCTTTCATGGTGGGCAACTCTGTCAACGGTGGCAACCTCTCCAAATCAGAAGCGGTGAGCAACATGTTGGGCACAATGTGGAACCTCAAATTGCGAAAGTAGATATTGAAATTACCAAAATTATGGAGGGAAGCATCGTCGAGAGCGAACAACATCATGTTATGAAGGCCTTCTAGTTGATAATAGTCTACCTGTAGCACTACACTCAGCCTGCCATAACCGCCCGCCTGCAGACACCATCGCATCGTTAGCATCATCACCATGGAAAGGAATATCTCTGGGTACTGCTCAATATTCGGTAGCGGCTACGGATAATCTACCAAAAACTACGAGCACTGTGGGACCATGAATCCTTCTGTGATTGAGATCGAGATCATGAAGTAAAAGACGGACGCTATTGAAACAGCTCTAGCCACCTACCACTCACCACCACTCATCTTCTATCTCACCAGTATAGTTGGTACAATTGACGGTGATTACGTGGGGCTCACCTTGTTTATTCCCTTTCTGGACCAATATGACATCGTTCTCTATCGGCAAACCCATTTTGGAAACGCCGGCGATAAGAATTGACGGAATTTCAACCAGAATCGATGAGTTGGGGTGTCCTTCGGCGGCGAATATTCAGGCGAAGACAGAGTCCGATCAATTTGGAGTGTTTCTAGCTACTTACAAGAGGAGCACACAGAGCAAAAATGTTGCCGAAGTCGCACAAGGAGGTCCAAATCAAAATTTTAACTTGACTGGGTTGGTGATTGTGGCAACGCCGCCGCAGAAGAAAGTGTTCACAACAATACTTTGGTTCTTACCTTGCTGGCGATGAAGTTGTCAAATTCGTCCTCGAGCTTCTGTTGCAACTCATCGGAGTCGGTGTCGACGGAGAGGACGATGGCACCCCAATCGGCGCCGTAGAGAACGGAGGTAGGGCGGACGTGGAGGAGGATCACACCGTCCCTGGGGCGGAGGTAGTTCTGTACCTCCCTCTTGACAGCAAAGGCACTCTCGTTGCTAAGGTCGACGATGATGGTGATGCGGCAGTGGGCTCCGACGGTGGAGAGGGGGAATTTAGGGGAAAATAGCTGGTGCTTGAAATCAAAAGGAATATGGAGATGAACAGTAGACCCACCAACTCAGGGGTATTTTTGTAATCTTACAATAATATTATAAGTTTTAAATTTACAATTAACTTAGAAGGGCAGTTTTGTCATTTCGGGGCAACTTGATGGGTTTTGTTAGTTCAGGGGGTGTTTAATTTTAGTGGGGGCATTTTGATCGAAAAAATTAGTACAGGGGGTTATGTGATTTTTCCCCTTAAATAATTGAACAAAGTCATAAATGTCTCCCAAGGCAAAGAAATTATGTGCTTTTCTATTCATTGTATGCAATTGTTTTTAAGTTTTTCAATTCTTTTAGGACAAATTGTAAAAAATTCTCGTTGACTATTACTCATTTGTAAGAAACTTTTCTTGTGAATGTTTTTGGCAAGAAAACTCCCTCAACTATTAGGAGGGGTTGATTTAACTTACCTTCGTATAACAATTTTGTGAGACAGTTTTTTCTGACCAAATTACCCTTATATCTGGGTCAATAGCTTCTGTTAGGTCTTCACCACATGAGAAGAAAAAAAAAAATTTGGGTTTTCTCCCTCACTTTCTAAAAATTGTGTAAGAAAAGAGAGAGCAATATATAAAAAACAATACACAGAGAGGGAGTTCCAAAAATCAACCAAAATAAATTATTTTTTCATTAACTTAGGTCCATTCATCTTTTGTTCCTTAGTGAACATTGACAAACCAAGGTCTAATATATATTTACCATGCTTCTTTGGAAAGATGATCCAGTGATTCATCAATTTCCTGCAATAAGTTAATGTTCCTGTGTGAAAAAATAATTTTTCTGGGAACTATGGATCCCTAACTTATGAAAATAGTTCTGCTTCAGAATTCAACGCGAATACAAGGACACTAGAACATCCATGAGGTTTCTGAGAAACCATTGTGGTCATAATCATCTTTATAATTGTCATGATTATGATTTCACACTGACTATACTTGAGAATAAAATACTTACATACCAGATACATAATTTACTTTTTTATACTTTGGCAAAATGACCTCACATGCCTGTAATATATTGATATGATGATTCGTTTTGCTTGTGCAGGTTGTGAGTCCACAGTGGCTGTTAGTGGCGAGATTTGATCCAAAACCAATTGAATCGAGAGAGAGAGAGAGAGAGAGAGAGATTTCGGCGAGTCCCAATGGTTCCTCTAAAGATTTTATGTAAGTAATGAAAAAATAATTTATTTTGGTTGATTTATGGAACTTCCTCTTTGTGTATTATATATATATATATATTGCTCTCTCTTTTCTTACACAATTCTTCGGGAGTGAGGGAGAAGACCCAATTTTTATTTATTTTTTTTCACAGTGGTGAAGACCCAACAGAAGCTACTAACCCAAATGTATAGATAATTTGGTCAAAAAAAATTGTCTCAAGATTGTTAAGCAAAGGTAAGTTAAATCAACCCCTCATAATTGAGCGAGTTTCTTACCAAAAATATTCATGAGGGAGTTTCTTACAAATAGGTAATAATCAAGAAGGTTTTTTACAATTTGCCCTTTCTTTTATAAGATTCGTTGTATCTGATTGTTTAATCAAATGCATAGCTTATCAAAGAAATGTCATTTTAATCATCAAACAATATTTTAGTGAGTTAACACAAAGTCAAATGGATAATAATATCTTTTTATATTTAAAAGTGGTGAGACACAATTTAAAAGTAACTTTTAAAGTATAAGTGAAAAGTAGACCAAACGTTTGTAACGTGAGTGATAATAATTTTTTGTCTAACCTCTTTCATTTTTTTATTTTTTATTTTATTTTATTTTATTGTCTTAAAAAACTTTTATGGTTTAAAGTGCTTCTAAAACCTTCCAAAAGCTGTCAAACACTTACCTTTATATAAAATGAAAATTCCAAATTCAAAATGTAACGGCTAGTTTCAAACTTTCAAGTGACCGTTAATAACCCTCAAAATTCTAGGTATTGAATAAGTGCCTCCGATTGAAAAACCACCCCCGAATCAAATTTTGAAGGGAAAAAGATATTAAAAAAAAAAATTTCGAAGCACGCAGCTCCAGCAAATAGTTCCTCAGTACACTGATCAATTCACTGCAAGAAATCAAAGGTAGCTCAAAATGGTGTACACATACACACCAACATACTACACTTCACTCCATGACTCGATCACCTCTCTATGCAAAAACATCCTCCCTTTCTCCTTCAAGAAGCGGCGGTTGCCGGCTATCGTGGCTGCCGAGCAGAGGCTCTCGAAGCAACAATCTGACAACCTGAAATGGCAACAAGATTCATTCCATCAGATCCTCAACTTGATGGGTCTCTGCAAAGAGGGTATTTTGCCAGAAACGGAGGTCTCTGCCTTTCGGTCTCATCTGCTCGAAACCCTCATCGCCTCGCCACTTGATCACGAACATCAAGCGATCCTAAGAGACAAGTTGATCTTTTTGCAGGTGGGTCCTTGACGGGTTTTTGATTTAATTTCACAAGTTGGACTAGATTGTGAAAATATCAACTGGGTTTGTAATTTTATTGCACAAATAGCTCTTCTTGCATGTGATATTTTAGTGGATAATTGATTTATCGTATATATTACATTGGGTTTCTGAAAATTTTACTTTTGTAAGTATAAAATTGATTATTTTTGGGAAATTATAAGCGCCTTTTGTATTATCATCAACTGGGTATGTAATTTTATTGCACAAAAAGCTCTTCTTTCAGGTGAATTTTTAGTGGCAATTGATTTATTGCATATATTACATTGGGTTTCTGAAAATTTTACTTTTGTAGCATAAATTTGATTGTTTTTGGGAAATTATAAGCACCTCCTGTATTATCATTAACTGGGTATGTAATTTTATTGCACAAAAAGCTCTTCTTTCAGGTGAATTTTTAGTGGGTAATTGATTTATCGCATAAATTACATTGAATTTGTGAAAAATTTGTACTTTTGTAGCATAAAATTGATAAAAACTGTGAAATTATAGAACCTTTTTTTTATTATCGTCAACTGTGTATGTGATGTTATTGCACAAAAAGCCCTTCTTTCAGCTAATTTTAAGTGGGTAATCGATTTATCGCATAAATTACCTTGAGTTTGTGAAAATATATATAAATAATAGACCTTTTGTTGCATAAAATCGATTATTTTTGTGGAATTTTAAGTACCCTTTTTGTTATCATCAACTGGGTATGTAATTTTATTGCACAAAAAACCCTTCTTGCAGGTGAATTTTTAATGGGCAATTGATTTATCGCATAAACTACATTGGGTTTGTGAAAATTTGTACTTACTGTAGCATAAAATCGATTACTTTTGGGAAAATTTGAAACACCCTTTTGATTGTTCTTTCACATAGGAGTTGTTGTACGCGAAATGTATATCAGAGGATGAGTATCACTCCTCCAAGAGGCCTTTGTTACAGAGACTCGCTGTTCAAGGAGCTGAGATTGAGGCCAGGGATGTGATTGTTGCAGCAAAAAAACAGGGTTCTGATGAGGAGTGGTCTGTTATTGATCTCAAGGATGAGAAATGCTTGCTGAGCAAAGAGAGCTCAAATTCGAACAACAAATCAAAACATGGTTCAGCCTTGAAGCAAATCAAAGGAGCTGCATCTGTATTTAGCTTTTCATCGTCTCACAAAAATGAAAAATTCAAGCAAAGTTTTGGTCCAATTGATCCAAACTTTACTTCCTCTGGCTCCTCAAGGAATGAATTGGGACTATCTAAAGAAAACCCCTTTTGGAATAGTGCGAACATGAGAGAGAACCAAAGTGAAACTCCATCCATTCTCATGTCGGAGAGCTTGCCACCGGAGTCCATGAAGGTCGAGAATCAAAGTGGCGGTGGTGATAAGCCAAAGAAGAAATCATCATTTAAGACTCTGTTTCACAGAGAGCAGAAAGAGGAGGAGGGACAAGGGTGTGATGACCATGGATCATCAGAGTTTGAGGAAAGAGTAACAAAATCAGGAAAGAAACAATGGGGATTTGATGGGTTCAAGAAATGGAAGAAAAGTGATTCAGAGGATGAAACAGCTCCTCTACCACTTAGTGAAAGATCAGATAGTGAAGCATATTCGGGTTCGTACCGTCTTGTCTCAAGTCCAGTTGGGGAGGGTCCAGACACCAAGCAAATTAAGAGGAAGTTGCATTCCAATGGTGCATCATCAGATTTTTTCATTGATAAGGTTCACATTGCATACTAGCATCATATTTTGTTCACAGTGACTAGAACTTCAAATTTTGATTTATAAAGACGAGGCTAATTTTCAAGCTCAATTTTGTGTTGTAGGTTTTGGGTGAGAAGATAAAGAAGGAGCTTTCGCGAATTCAAACAGAACTAAATGCTACAAACCCAAATCTTCAGTTCTCGTAAGCATTTTTATCGAACCCACATTTTGATTTATTTGTTTGCTTAATATGATCGACATTTTGACAGTTCATGGTTGTTCATTTCTGCAATTCAGGAATGATCAGATTGAAGCAATTTCTACTAGGCTTCCAGTTGACAAGGCTGACTTGAAAAAGTTCTTTCCTAAGTAAGGCAACATCCATTTTTTAAAAAATTTCTTCTATCTTCTCATTCAGTTCATTAAGATTTGGTTGTTATTATGATGATCTGACGAGAACTAAAATGAAAAACCAATAATTTAACATAGTCAATAAGCTAAAGGGTCACTTGTTTATCTATTTTCATCTTTTGAACTTTTTTCTTTTTAGGTCATGGTGTGATAGATATGGTGATGTTGTGTTGGATGTGGTGAAAAAAGAATTCAAGGACCATGTTGGAGAAATGGGGAGTTTGCGCGACGCTGCCAGAGAGAAGCACAGCAGCTCAAAAAGATGGACTACATTCGATGATGACGAGAACTGTCACCCAAATCTCTTTGCTCCTCAGGATCATCATCCATTCCCAATGAAGCAAACAAAGTTCACTCCTTCGAAGGAAGATCACAGCTTAAAAAATAAGCCCTTATTCCATGAGTGTGATGACGCCAAGCCGAGACCTGAATCAGCCTTTTGTTATGACCAGAACCCCTTCTGGAGTCCAAGGCACCACGGTTCTTCTATGCTTGGTTAGATGAAACCATATTCTATCACTAGTAAAGTTTATCTGTCTTGAACAGACAAGACTTGTGTTTCTTTCTCATTCAAAATAGATATTTGTTGTAGATGAATGAATGCTTTTGGATTGAGCTATGAAGAATATTGTTCTTCAAGTAATTTGTTACAATTCTCACTTTCACTTTCTTTATTTCCCATGGGATTTACTCCGTATGTGCAACGAAGCTAAGAGTTTGGTGTGATGCAACAACAGCAGGCCACCGTTTCCCAGCCAATCACAACCCGAAACACTAAATATAGTCCTGTTTCCCAGCCAATCACAACCCGAAACACTAAATATAGTCCTGATGCATCTAATAATTTTCTCGTCTTGTAAGTGCAATTTGGACTAGCAAGACACTGACACAGGAGGTCACCGTGCAGCTTTGACATGAAAACGTACAAGAATACACTTCTAAAAACTTCAGAACATGTTTCATCGCTGTACTTGGGACAATTGGCATCTCCACAGAATACAGGAATAATAGTTGCATTTGTTCTACACAGTCAAGCCTCTCATTGGATCCAATGAATTTGACTAATCACGTGTGATACATTTAATGTGATACGAAATTATACAAAATAAATATAGGCTCTGGGCCAGTAAAATCTCATTTCTGGAAATTGTTATATTAGAGTTTACAAGACTGATCTGTGAAGAAAAAAGGTATGTTATCAACCTCGAAATTTGGATACATATGTGGAATACAGGTAGGAAGATATTTCGGAAAACATAAATACAGCATCCCGAGAGCAAAATTGCCTTATTTACGTGTATATTTACAACTTGTGAATCAAAGAGAAGGGGTTTCTGAGTTTGAGACGGAACCCTCTATCTCACGGACATCACCTCGGCAGAGTGGGCACACCCTGTTAAGAATGACCGGAAAAAAGTCACTACAGACCAATAATAAAAGAAAAGAAAATATATTTAAAAAAAAGGGGAAAAAATCGAAGAAGCGGACAGAAGTTATCATGATACCCATGTATCTCTTTCAGCCATTTATCAACGCATGACATGTGATACTCATGGTGGCAGGGAAGAACTCGTATTTTATCCCCTTCCTCATACTCAGCGAGGCAAATGTAACACCTACAGATAAGATCGTTAAACAAGGTAAATCAAAATGGTAATTTGAACTGCCGACTTCATATTTGATTAATGACATCTAGGCCAGCAGGCCATTATCCATTCTGGTCCTTCCTAGACAGAACGCTGGAAGGGACAAGAGACAGACCCAAGTTTTTGCAAAATTTTGCACGAAGTGGTCACTTCCAAACTCAAGCAATGACTCCTGAGCACTATATATTGACAAATGTTTACATATTGGAATAAGATGTAACTGTAGTAGTTAACTGCCAGTCACTAGTTGCTAGATACATACTCAAATATTGTTGGCTTGACCAAGACACAAACACATGAACATGTTTCAGGCATCATGGAAAGAATCTCATATTTATATATAACAATTCAGTAAGTGCTAATCCATTAATTGTCTAATCTGCTAGTGGAATGAGAAAAAACCTACTGTCCAATATCATCCGCATTGTCAGCAGTGTCTGGCTTTCTGTGACTCTTAACAGGAAAAGAGTCAACAACGGACTCTGGAGCTGGAAGCGAGACCATTGACAAGGAAAGTGACACAGGTTGACGATGAATTTCATCCAACACCTGCAGATCACACATTATTAATTTAGCACCTTTGGAGGCAAAATTAAATTTAGATAATATCGAATTCTAGTACCCCCCCAACATGAGAATGAACAATCAATGAATTACGTCTCCAGAACTATATACCAAATCTCCCTTGATCCTGTCCCTTTATCTAGAAATTTACAAATTATTTTGGGACAAGCATGGAAGAATATTATGGATTGGAATTGCAATTTAAATTGAAATACATATGACATCATAAAAAAAAATGAAAAAGAAATTTTTTTACTACGGCAAGAAATAAAAAAATAAAAAATTCTATTGATCAGTTAAGTATTTTTATCCTAATAATAATAATAATAATAATAAAACTACATTGTAAATGCCTAGCTATTTATTCTTATATGTTTGCTCACACTTCAAAGGCACTATTGGTGTTCTCAGAGAGTAAACAGGTTTACAAGAAAAAATTAAAAAATCATGTTTGTGTTATTGTTAACAAATAAAAGTTCTAAAGAATACCATAAAACTCTACAATGCAACTAAGCCTCAAGATATGATTTGATTGGAAATATTGACAATATATCATTTGTAAATACTTGCACAACTCCATGAACAGAGTAATTTAATTGAACATGCATAATTTAATTGACCATGCACCATTATTAGAGTAAGATGCTCCACTCTGAACAGCACTCATTTGCCTAAATGCTGTGTATAGTTTGGCTAAAGAATATAGCGTGACAATGTAAGCTAAACTCAAGTTTCTTACATTATGGTCACTAGTGCCAATAAGGTAATGCTTAGAGAATTCAGAATAGACGTCATCTAGTTTATTAAGCATATTGCTAAGATATGTGTAGTAACAAGCGCATTGGAAACCTGCAACCTATGTCCTCATTCATCTGAGAAACAACGAAGCCCTCTCTAACAGAATTGAAACTTGAATCAACAAGAAATGATAGAGCATTAAAAAAAAAAAAAAAAATTCAAATTATGATACCATCAACTCCTATTCTTCAAATATGCAACCACTCTGAAAAATAAACTCTATAACGGACATTGCTAGGGAATAAGTCCAACAAGATGAATGAAAAATAAATAGGAGCCATACAGTGAACTTGATGATTTAGACATGAATCTACAAATAATCAAGTCTAATGGGGTATACCCAGTGAAATAGTACAACATAGTTCGCACAAGCCAAACGAAGCATTCCAATTGAATAGGCAGAATTACCTCAAACAATGCTTCAGCAAGCATGACAATTCGTGAAATACTTGCTCGAGTACTAGACTCATCGGCCATCAATATAGACTCACATGAGCAAGTGCCATCAGGGTGAAGCCCTGACGGACAAATGGTAGTACGCCGATCATTTCCATCAAGGCTACCACGAAGTCTCTCCCAGATCTGCAAAAGAGTTATGCAGCAAGGAAACAATTAGCCCTCAAGGCAGAAAATGAATATATATATAGCTTCCACTGGCCCATCACAACAGCCAAATAGACAATATCACATATTGTAATGTATATTTATGATATAATAATTGGCTTTAAAAAACATTATTGATGTACAGGCAAATATATTAATTATGTATGAAAATGGCTGTCAGTACTACCATATGCAGATACAAAACACCAAGGTTCCAAAGTAATGTAGCATATAAGCTAAAGCATAATATTCAGTATTATATGCATGCTGACTTCATTTGGAACAATTCTCAAAGTTTTTAAAGAAGATGTGCATTAGCCAGGAGAGAGAATCTAAGAAACCACCTCAGATCTTGAGTGCCATCGTCGTTCATTCACATTGTGAGTTCTACTGCCCAGATATCCAGAATCACCTCCAACCCCATCATCAAAGAAATCACCACTAAAATCAAGCAGCCATCTGTCATGAGATTCTAGATCATCGGAATCATCAGCTGAAGAAAGTAAGGTTCTGGAATCGCTATGCCTTCTAGAACTGCGTCTTGAAAAAGCATCCCAGAACAGTCTTCTACTATTCCTTCTTGCTTCACGACTACTTATGTCAGCAGCGCTACTAGACAAAATGTTGGAAGATATGCTCACCACATCAACTTGAAGTACACTTCCACTTCTCTGGCCTCGTTCCCTGTCTGGCACAAGGAATCCTACACCTGAAGGCATTGACTCTGGAAGAGTATCATTTCTTAGCGAGTGGAAAGTTACTGATGAATCAGAAACAGCAGGACGAGAACTGGAATCAGAATTATGGATGGACATCACTTCGCTCACACGATTTTCATTGATAATTCCATTTGAAGTTGAATCCCCAAGCTCTCTAGGAGATGAACTGCTTTGATGTACCTCTGAACGTATCCGTGATACATCCTTGTTCATCATTCTATTAACACCATTAACATCATTTATGATGGCCCTCCCATTTGCACTAATTGTATCTGAAGATGACCGATCTTCATATGAAGTACTAGCTGTGTCACTGTTTCTATAATTGACATTTAACTGATGATACGGAACTAATTCCTTACTTTCAAACAAGCATTTCCCCTGGTTACTTGGTTCAACCTTGCTCAAACCATCTTCAGAAGAGGAATCCTCACTAGCAGCACGCCTAGTACTTTCAGACGAGCCTCCGCTATCAGCTTTAGGACTTGTAAATACAGTTCCTGTATCAGAGGTCAAAGAAGTATCCTTTGTAGGGCTTTGGAGCTCGTCAACAACTGGATCGCTGTGTTCCACAGAATTTACCAGTAACTCAGCTGGATCATCATCCATCTACACAAAATGAACCTCAGTCAGTCGAGGCATTAGTCTCAGTTCATAACTTGGAAAATCTGATGCTAAATAAACTATTTAGTATTACAGAAGTCATATCAACGCACAAAAAGAGAGAAAAAGAACAAGAGAGGAGGGGGACCTGTCCCACGACTCGTAAAAAAATTTGTCAACATAGTTCGTAGCATTGATTACTTGTTTCAAAAGTAAAGGTTGAGGGGCAATTTGACTTATAAAAAATAAAAAATAAAAGGGTTGAGGGGCAATTTGCGAATCCTAAGAAGTAATTCCAATCAGGTTCTATCTTTGTACTATCTGTTAAACAATAAATCAAACCCAGTTGATTAAAGAAAAGGCTTGTTTCATCCCTGATTCCTATGAAAACATGAACTATTTATGAAATAAATGATTCTATCAATCACACGCAACAGAAAAGTGGTCAAGCTCAGTCGACCTGATTCTTGGACTCCCCAATCCCTGAACAACTCAGACTTTAGATTTCAATTGATCCTATGAAAACCTGTCACATGGAAACTGATATTTCCACTCACGTACCTATGTCGACGCGCACAACATGGATATGGGTAAAGGATATGAGTCTGACACACGAACTGAAATCGGGCATCCCAATCCTTCACATGACATGATTGAAGAAGAAGAAACAACTCAAATTTTAAAAGCAGAGATGAGTTTTTTTATATATGAGATAGATAGAAACTTTTTCTTTCTCCAAATCCCATTTAGTTTGAATAATAATAGAGTAAATTCTTACAAAACGAAAACACTAAACATTACAGTACAATAAAACATATAATGTATTTAATGCGACACATATCCCTATATCCCAAAATGTTTACAGAAATAACATAATACAATGTTACTTATCCAAGAAGTAAAGCAGCCAGTTGCCAGAGGATGTAGATCAAGTCCTCAATTCAGTAAAAGCACAATCAGTTTCTTTAACAGAAGCAACAACCAAAAGGTCCAAAAGATTTGACCCAACTATCAAAAAAGAGTAAAGTAATGAATACAAATTAAGATGTAAATCAGGTGGTTAAGATAGTGCCACCTCAATACAACCTCATTGACTGGAGATTCATCAAAGTCCTCTGATGCTTTACCGCCCCTCCATTAATGGATCATTCCATAAAGCATGACTTACTGCAATTGAAATGGTCATTTGAATCCCCAATTGGGGTGGAGATCCATAGAGCTTGAAGGGGGTCCAATAGATTTCAAAACTTTTCTTATTTCTAATTTGCATATCTAGCGTTTGAAATAAATAGGTGCCTTCACTCCCATGATAATATATATATCTACTATATCTATTCAATTTAAAATAAACTCACTCCTAGAGGAAATCCAATCAGCACTGCTTATATTCAAAATAAGCACTCGATGAAAGTGAGAAAAGAACAAGCCATAACTTTTTCAAAATCATGGATAGCACTACTTACACTTGCTACCCCTTATTGGTCGATTAAGAAGGCTGATTTACTTTAGCTAGGAAGCCATCTCTTGAAGGACAAATATGAAAGGTTCCCTCAATAAAGTTCAACGATCTTTTACTAGAACGAACCCTAAAATCTAAGTAAAGAAGACAGTTTAAGACCTCTATAAAAAAAAAATGTTCACTCAAAAATTATTGTATATCCTTTTATTTTCATAAGAAATGGTTTATTTGCTTCAAAACAGCAAGTAGTAGTTAACCATCTGATTTCAGTCAGGCCAGAAACAACAAAAATCCAGGCAATCGACTATATTTATCTTAAAATAGACAAATATAAGTTAAAATTTTCATATTTTTAGCCATTATTTGAAACCCTCAAAATACAAACAAATTTATTTTTTTGAAAGCTTGCCTGTAACAATTTTTATCTCACCCCAGATCCAAATACTCTCCATTCCATAAATATAACTCAGTAGTAATCCATTATCCTAGGGCCATTTCTGATTTGAATGAATCCCCTTCTTCAGAACATTCATAACCACATTAGTGCAAATATGATAGTCCATCAACCCCAATGCACTCTCATTTTCAAGTCATAGCTTCAATACAAAGAAAGGTGAAAAGAACAGTTCCCATATTAGATCCAAGCTTGAAAGCATAGTCCTGCCAACAGGCCGCATAGTCCTGCGAACAGGCCGGTTCACAACAGGAATGGAATGCCCCATCGCCAAGTCTCACCAATTTATCGGTGAGACTCAAATTCCCTATTGAACCAGTCATTCTCAGATGAATTGGACAGTTCGGCCAAGAAATGACCCGTTCCACCAGTTCATGCAGGCTGAGCGCTTACAGCATCACGGCCGTCGAGTGCTGGTTCAGAACAAAGTGCCTGGCAAGATTTGAGCCATAACCAAGTTATAGGAAGAGCAAGCACTCTACCACTCAACAAAGATTTTTATTTTTCATTTTTGTTATCTTTAGGAAGAGTAATGCTATCGAGTGGACCACCTCATGACAAAGAACCATGAGCTCTCCATATTTTACAACTGGATTGAAAGAAATATTAAATGATTCATTTGACTTTTCACATATCTCATATAACCGTCTCAATCTAGTAGTCAAATATGGAGAGCTCAAGACTATTGTCATGAGAGAGTTCTCTTAATAGCATTCTCTTTTATTTAATCAATGAAAACGACAGTTATTCAATATTGCTAACAATCATAATCACATATAAATAGGCTTATTTTATATGTACAACACCATTTTTTTCTAATTTATTTTCTAATTCTCACATGCTATATATATAGTATAAATTTTCATTTATTTCAGGCTTAAATATATTATTATAATAATCAATTTAGTAAAAATTATGATTACTAAGCATTTTAAATAATGACAATAACGTAGAATTCATAAATAAGTCACTATTTGTGTTAAATGGTCTTCATAATTTCAATAAAAAAATATTTTTATTGAATTATGTTGTAAGAAGTAGCATATAGGTGCAACCAATTCCCTTACCTTTCGCCCATACATGCCCGAGTTTGTTATATCGTGAACGCGAACAATCCTTCAAATATAAGAAAGAAAGAGGGAAAAAACCTGCATATAATTCTTTTTTCTGATGAAGAATATTATCTCAGACGACATGGTTTCCAATAGGTTCAACCAAATAGGCCCCCACAAAGTATATGAAGAGCGCTTAGAAGTCAACTTAAAACGTAATTTATAAGATCTTATTTGTGGAAAAACTCCTATGTGACTTAATGGCTTTGAGGGCATCAATATTCGTATCTCATTGCATGATTGGTAAGAACCGTCTTTGGAACTTATCACATTAAGCTGGTGTCAATTTTCACCCCATTAATCCAGTAAATTCAAGACACCATCTGAAAAATCCCAAAGCTTTTGATCCCTTAACATTGATTGTTTTTATTGGGAGGCACAGATTGAACTACATGGAAATCCATCCATCAATCAGATGACCCAAATAGTCAAAATTTCATTTCCTTCCCTCCCCGCCATCTAATTACAAATTCATTGTTATGAACGCCACGAAATTCAATTCAACACATTCAATAACAAAAGGAATAAAAAAGCCAATAATGCCAAACATTTCAAAATCAGAACCATTTTTCCCTAAATCGAATCGATCCTATGCACCAATTGATCAATCTCAGTAAAATATACACGCAAACACAAAATGGGGATTAAAAATAGGAACAGGAAAATGGGTGTAAAGAAACATAGATGAATGTGAAAGGATAAATTAGGTTTTCAATCTATTATATGTGGATCGTGATGATGATCTGATAGATACCTCGATGGGTGATTGAGAGGTGGAGCCACCGCATATGAGAAGAGAGGAGAGGGTGCGTTTGGTGCGGGTGGCTCGTGGGGGGCGAGGAGGGCGCGAGCCCAAGCGACTGTTGCTCGAACCCATCAAAGAGCCCTTTTTGTGTAAGAAGAGAAATATATATAGAAAGAGAGAAAAAGTTAGAGAGAGAGAGAAATTAGGAAGAGAGGCCGAGAGATGATGGAGGCATAGGCAGCTCAGAGAGGAGACGGGTCACTATTCAATTATTTGAAGCTTTCGTGTCATTATTTCGTGCTTGGGTCGCACCGGACACTTCTTAGACATGTTTGGTAATTGTTTTTATTTTATAAACCTAATTAAATAATAAAATCATGTTTGATACTAACATTTAGGGATTCACGGTTCAATTAAGAATTTTTTAAAATCAAATCAAAACATTTGATCGAATGAATCAAATTATAAAAAATCGGGAATTTTTTTTTTTTTTTTTTTTTAAAAAAAAAAAAGAAAAAGTATTCATATTTCAAAATTTACATGCACAACTAAAAACTATCTAGATGAGTCCACATATATATATATATATATTTTACTATAGGCAATTTTAGCCAACAAAAAAAATAAAAATAAAAAAATTATTACTAGTATCAGCCCACCCAATAAATTTTAGCCCGTCCCGTCAACAATTCTTGCATCCACCGTTGCATAAACCAAGTTAACAACATAACTTTTAATTCATTCTTCTATATTACTTATGGAAGTGAAGTGAATAAATTCAAAATTGTTAATAACCTAATACATTTAGAATTACTAATTCAATAACAAACAATCATATACAATTCAAAATTCAGCCACTATAAAAATAATAATAATAATAATAATAATAATAATCTAATAAATTGATAAGACCTAAAAGAATCAGCCACTATAAAAATAAAAATAAAAATCATCTAATAAATTGATAAGAACTAAGAGAATTAAGAGTGGACTATAGGATTGATAGTTGTTATAAACTCCTAAATGATTTGGATTGTATGATTATATTATATTATATATATAGTATAATTTAACATATATCTATATCTATACTATTATTAAATGTGCTAAGAATTTCAGTGTTTTAGTATTTCAGTATTTTAGTGTTTATTTATTTGTATAAAAAATATTTATTAATTGATATAAAAATAGTTTTTATAAAAATAGTTTTTATAAAATTCTAAAAATTACCTAATAAAATCAATCACAATAAAATATTTATTAATTAATATAAAAAGAATAGTTATTTTTTATGAATAATTATCATAATATAACCAGCCCGACCCAGTTATGATTGTGTCATTATCAGGAGAGGACACATGTCATCATCCTATTAATTCAAGAAGCCTATAAATAGAGGCATGATGGATGGAGGAAGAGGTACAGAAATTAAGAATTCTATAAATTCATAATTACAGAGTAAAATACAGAAGCTCATTGATATAAAAATAATAGTTATTTTTTATGGATAATTATCACAATTAGTGGCGGATCCAAGGGGGGCTTGAGTAGGCTTGAGGCCCCCCCCCCCCCCCCTAAATTTTTTTTTTTATTTTTTATTTTTAAGTATAGGTATATTTAGCCCAATATTTTAAAAAAGAAAAAAATTAGTAGTAATATTAACCCCCCAATTTTAACCCATCCAAACAAGCCCAATATCTAAGTCACAACTTTAAAACAAAGGCCTAAGTCAAACAAGCCCTAAACAACCATTAAGGCAAAGTACAGATAACTCCTAAATTCCTAATCTTACACAAATTAGAGAGTTCACTCCTTCTCTTCCTCTAAAGTCTAACTCTATTTCCTCTAAAAATTTCCAACTCTTTAATCTTTCGATCCCTAATTTTCCCTTATTTATTATTAGCCCCCCCTCATAATTAACAATTCCTGGATTCGCCCTTGATCACAATATAACCGGCCCTACCCAGTTATGATTATGTCATTATCAGGAGATGACACATCTCATCATCCTATTTCTATATTTATATCTATCTATATCTACATCTATACTATTATTAAATGTGGAAAGAGTTTCAATGTTTCAGTATTTATTTATTTATATATAAAAATATTTATTAATTGATATAAAAATAGTTTTAATAGAAATAGTTTCTATAAAACTCAAAAAATTACCTATATTTATTAATTGATTTAAAAAGAATAGTTATTTTTTATGAATAATTATCACAATATAACCGGCCTGGCCCATCATTCACAACAAAATATTTATTAATTAATAAATAAAAATAGTTATTTTTTATGGATAATTATCACAATATAACCGGCCCGACCCAGTTATGATTACATCATTATCAGGAGATGACACATATTAATCCAACAAGCCTATAAATAGAGGCATGGAGGAAGGAGAAAGGAGTACAAAAATTGAGAATTCTAAAGTAAAATACAGAAGCTTTGCCAAAAAGTTTCAGTATTTATTTATTTATATATATAAAATATTTATTAATAGATATAAAAAGAGTTTTTATCTATATTACTATTAAATATGCAAAGATTTTCAGTATTTATTTATTTATATAAAAAATATTTATTAATTGATATGAAAAGAGATTTTATAAAAGAAAAAAAGAAACTCTATAAAATTCTAAAATCTATCTAATAAAATTTAAATTAACCTATTTATCAATTTATTATTGTGAATTTTTTAATAAAATAAATTCCAATTAAGAATTATTAATATAAAATAAAATAAAATAATTTTTCTAAAGTAAAATAAAATAAAATAATTTTCTAAACTCTACCACAAATTAGTTTTTATTTTGAGTTTCTTAATAAAATTAAATCTAATTAGACAAAGATATATTTAAAGAAAATAAAATAATTTCTATAAAACTCAATCACTAATTACCTATTTTATTTTTAATAAAACTCTATCACACTAGACAAAGATATATTTAAAGAGTTTCTATAAAACTTTAAAACAAATTATCTATTTATGTATTTATTTTGAGTTTTTTAATAAAAGGAAATCTAATTAGACAAATATTTTTAATATATAAAAAATTACTTATTAATTGATATAAAAAGAGGTTTTAAAACAGTTTCTATAAAACTCTAATACAAATTACCTATTTATCTATTTATTATGAATTTTTTAATAAGAGGAAATCTAATTAGACAATAATTAATAATATAAAAAATATTTATTAATTGACATAAAAAGAGTTTTTTTAAGATTTTCTATTGAACTCTAACACAAATTACCTATTTATTTATTTATTAAAAGTTTTTTAATAAAAGAAAATCTAATTAGACAATAAATATTAATATAAAAAATATTTTTCATTAATATAAAAAATAAATAATTTTGCTATAACTCTGTCACAAATTATCTTTTATTATGAGTTTCTTTTTTTCAATAAAAGGTAATCTAATTAGACAATAATTATTAATATATAAAAATATTTATTAATTCATATAAAAAGTGTTTCTAAAAGATTTTTTTATAAAACTTTAACACATATTACCAATTAATCTATTTAATATGAGTTTTTA